AGAAGAAATACTGAGATAACAATGTTTTCTAATCCATGAAGCCTTTCTTCCTGGAACAGCCAATGGAATGTGTCGTCTTTTCAAAGGAAAAGAACTTTTATCTTTATTAGAGTAGAATAAATGAATTTTGAGTATCATAGTTCTGAAAGTTGTATTGAGAAGTGAGGTCATCATGGCTTTATCTTTCAGTGCATCTTCAGCACTTCTTCCAGAATGGCATTGCATCATCTCAGTCAAACTAGAGGCAAACCACACTCAATTTTGCTCCTAAAACTTGCTTAGCTAAGTCCATTTTTCTGCTGCAGTAAATATTACAGCATCTTCTCTACCCAGCCTCACCAGCCTTATACCAGCCTTATACCAAGATTTTCAAATCTTGGTATAAAATTAACCAGAGTTAAACCCCTATAATCTCTGCCATCACTGAAATGTTCCCTTTTTGAGGACAGAAGGTTACACATCCTACCCTGTATTCCCTATCTGTGTATCTCTTCCCCAGTCACCTGGATCCCACCTGGATCCCACCTGGAGGTGGCTCACAAAGCAGGATTTGTAAGAAAGTTCATGCCTTTTTCTTCAGTCCTTGTTCCTCAGGTAAACTCAAGCAAAGCTCCTTCAGCACTCACCAAACTAGTGTTGTGGGGAAGATCTGAGCAGAGAGAGGAACATGCAGAGAACTCCTCTGTGGCCCTGAACAGCATCAGAACCAGGAATTCTGTGTGTGCCCAATTAGAGCAAGTGATGGAAGAATATTGCACTGGAGAAAACTCCAGACACCAAACTGTGCTACGCCAATTATTCCATCTCTTATAATAAACACATTTACCTTCATAAAATGTGCTTTATTCTGTGGGACCCAAAGCAATAAGGCTGCTTGTGATCAACGACCGGTCCCTGGACACAGAGGCCACTTAAAAACCTCTCTCAGCAGGTTCATCTTTCCTGTTGCCTGCCAGCTCTTCCCTGTGTATCACAATAAGCTGCACATTTGCACTTCTGGGGGACTGATTTTACTTTATAGGCTCTGCATCTGTCATGCATTTTCATCTGAAAATATTCCTCCTTGCAGCTCACCAGTAACTTTCAGCACATTTCCATTCATTTCCCTTGGCAAGAAGGAAGGAAAAGGGAAAAAAGAGAGAATTTTCAGCATCATCCTGCTCTAATGGTTTCAAATCCATCTCTAGCCCTTCATGCGAGCAGGTGATTTGTGTTTCACTGCAGTCTCCAGGGATTTCAGAAACGTATCTAAACTTATCCTCAACATCTCTCACTATTCTGAGGAATAAAACCAACATGAGTTTTATAAAAAGAAGAGATATGGCCAAATTAATCAACTTGGCCAACAGCTACTGCTGAAGTTGCTGGTGGAGACAGAAAATGAACTGGAAGTAAAGCAAATCCAAAACAACGTACTCAGAGCCTTAATTCAGACTTGTTAACTAAAAAAGTTACATTTCAGACACCGATTTTTCTTTGTGAAAAGCAGGGGTGAACCTGCCCATGGAATGAGAGCTCGAGCACACAGATCACAAGGGCCCCAACACGGGCAGCCTCTTGTCCCAAAAATATTTTAGGAATACTGGAAAGATTTGGAACGTGAATGGGAAGTGACAGTCAAATAAATTCCTTAGAAACTGAGGATCATGATTCTCCCACCTAGGAAACCATAATTAAATACACCAAGCTGGCTCTCTAAACTGAAAATGTCCATCTAGCTGCACATCATAGAAAATCTATATTATACAGGATGAGACACAAATCAGATATGACAGAAAACTGCTGAGTCTGAATATGTTATCTTACAGTTATTACAGCTCTGTCAGCTCTCATAGAATCAAAAAAGTTTGAGTTGGGAGAGACCTTAAAGATCACCTTGTTCCAACCCTCTGCCATAGAGGGACTTGGGAAATTCAAAGTGCAGAAGCTCAGAAGTAGAAGGAAAATTACACTAATCATCTTCCTGTTGAAAGTCCTCACAAAATGCTTTTACCTACTGACATTTAATGAAGAGAATCTGCTCAAGCATTTTTTTTTTCAAGTAGTAGTTGCCCTAAAACATGCATAAAGGAACTCCAGAATACTATAAATATGTCACACTCACTATAAGGAAAAACACTTATTTCTTGAGCAAACCAGTCAAATAGAAAATGAAGGGAACCGACTGTAGGTGAATGAGTTTGAAAACCACATCAGATATTTAACTTTTTCCACAAACTGCAGAAAACACCCACAACTGCCACTCTCACACATCTGCACTCTTCCAAAATCCCCACTGTTCTTTGCTGCATGGTTTTCCTCTTCGTGCAATTCCCCAAAATGTCCATTTATCCTTACCAGCTGCACTCCTCTACCCACAGCTTCAGTCATTAAACTGAAATATGAACCAAGAAATGTGTTTGACTCTCTTGAAGAAACCAGGAAGGCAGAGGCAGGAAAGATGGGAGAATAATTATTAAAAAAAGGAAGATTATATCTGTTGTTGTCAAATTTCTCCCGCCTGGCAGCCTAACTGAGCTGTGTGTGCATTTCTAGGAACTCAAACCCACAATCCTAAGGTTGGAAAACCAGTTCCATTGTTGTTTGAAGGGGCAGGATTTGCACTTTTCCAGGCAATTCATTAATTACAGGTACTCTGGAGCAAAGCTAAGTTTCCACTGAAGAGTAACTGCCACCATTAAGAGATGTGTGCACAAAGCAGGGAGAGACTTTAAAGGGCAAGATTTGCTTTAACAGTATCAGCCAAGCCTAAAAGTCAAAAATGCAGCAGTATCAGTCAGATTGACAGCCCCAAAATGTGGAAAAGCAAAGCATGAAATGTTCTCGAGCCTCAGGAATGGGAAGGGATGGGGAGGAAGAGGCTGCAGAGCTGGATGTGAGGCCATGGAACCACAGCACACATTAAAGCCCAGGAAATTCCTGCTCCCCAAACTGTTACTATTATCACAAGACATAAATTTAAAACTCACTTATGCTTTTTGTTATAAGTGACTGAAGTTAAATTAACATGTTGAAAGCATTTCTATAAAATGGAACCTCAGAATTTTTCATACTTCTCTCTGCAGGAAATAACGAGCAAAACAAGGCCTGGAAATTGCTGTGCCAGAAAAGAGTGAGGAATTACTTCCTGGGCAAGGGAAAATGTTATTTAAACTGAGTAACCGGCGATGTTACACTGATTTGTTAACTCAAGCACAGACACCTATAACTCATTGAAATTCACCAGTCTGGGTTTTCAATCCAAATATTTGAGCATTCCTACCCATGTATTTTCTACTTTGGCTTGATTTAATATAAATAACAGCATCGAAACTTTCATTATGATTTGTCTGAACTCCAGACTATCGGATGCCAAGGAAGCTAAAAACCAACAGAGTTAAAATAGAAATTTGCAAATTAAGAATGCAGGATTCTCACTCACATGCCTCTACAGCCAAAGGAGAGAGCTCTCATAAAACCCTTAAGGGCTTTTTACTTGTATTTAAAACACAAAGGATTAGCTTTCTAAAGCTTCTTTCTGAATTTAATTGGGCAAGTATAAGTTTCAAAGTAGTCCATCTGCCTGGAGCACAGCAGCTGTGGTGGGAAGTGGAGAATGCTACTGCAATATTTGGATAAATTCTCAAACAAAACTGTAAAAAGTCTCCAGTAATTAGTGGATGATACGAGAATTCAGAACTTGGCAGTGGAATGTTATTTGCAGAAACTGTTGGACTTGTTTATAGTGATACTTATTTCCAGTGCACAAACACTACAGTGAGTTCAGTACTTAATTCTTGCATATCATCAAAGTAAAATTTGGTGTTAATGCACATATTTATTCCCTCAATATTTAATGTGACATTTCTCTCCGCGGAGAAATAATCCAACACTCATTTTCTTCTAAAACTTTATAATAGAATAATATCACATTACTACTTTGCTTAAATTATATTACAGTGCCTAAATGTTACATGATGCTACAGAACAGTTTGCTATATCCTGTAACAAGATCTTTCCCACTGCACCCATCTCATCAGTTCTCCTAAATTAAATATGGTAAAGTCTGTTTAATGCTTAAAACCTTAAATAAAAGGTTCTGAGCTAATGGAAGTGCTAAGGTTAATGAAATGACCAGTGAATTAACAGGGAACAGAGTTAATGGTAAATTAGCACTGTGTTAGGAATTTAGCCCCAACCTTGAAAATCACTGTAATCCTAGAACTGAACTCTGTTGGATTATCAAAAATCTCATAGAATATTTCCCATATTTTGTATAAATTTCTCCTCTTATCCCTATTCTGTTCTGGCAACCAGATAAAGATATTGTTTAACTTATTAAAAATACAGGAAAAATATTTGATATTCAGGTACATCCCACATGTGAGTTCTGAAACTGAGCACTTAAAATCTGCTACTGGTCCAGCACTACTCATTGCACATCCTGAACCAGGGCTCAGACCCTTCTGGAATGACTGGGGATAGAAAATTCACGTTTGTGAGGAAGTCTATCACACATGTAATACATACTTACTGTGACTATATTACTGTCCTGACTGATTTTCAGAAGTGGAAGATTTAGTGGCCATTCAAAATGTTCAACGTTTGTTTTTCCATGACGAGCCCTGGCCAAATGTGGCAAATCAGAGCTTTCCAACCCAGTCTCCTGCACACAAACTGAGTATATTCGTACATGTATGTGTTTGATTTTTCATCTATAACAGGATTAAATGGCCATTTTCAAATCTAAGTTTTAAGATCTGTATCTGGGGTCAGATTCAGGCCTGTGATATTTTATATCCGTTGGATAAAAATATATAAGTATTTTTGTGCATTGTATTGCATATGAAAAAAAAACTTTATGTACCTCAAAATTATAAAACATTTATCAGTTTCTATACAAGTATCTCACTGCCAAAGTTACAGAACCACTGCAGATGAAAAGTTGTTGGGAGACAGCAGAAAAAAATTACCCTGTTTGCCACTTTGTTCAGCTACAGCTGTTGTCTTTTAATTTTCAGGAACCATTTTCTGTTGTTCTGCATTTGCTGGTTATTTGGTCTGGACCTCTCTTCTGATGCCAAAGTATTCACAGAACTGAACTGACACAACTGAACCAGCCCCTTGGATATGATTGGCCTTGTGTTTGCAAGAACTGCAGTAGTTACACATCAATAACTTCTCCCACTGAATCCCACTGGATGCTGGATTTTCCCCTGGTCAGAAGTGGTTACGTTTTGTTTAACTGTTTGGAAAGATTAGTTTCAACTGGAACATCAAAAAGATGGCTGAAGAAGAAAAACTCTCAATAAAGAAAGCACTTCAGTTCGGTATAAAGGGATATATTCCAGCAGGAAATCTATGCATCAGAAATGAAAATGCCCCCAGAAGTTATTATGCTTCTTGTTTAGACAACATGCAAATAAAACAGATCTGACTGGTCCATCATAAAAAAGCTGGATCACTAATGGAGAGCTGCTGTCAAACAAGAGCCACCAGGAAAGCCATAGACTCGACCTTACCTTTAAATTAGTTAACCACAAGTGTAACAGCCTGTTGCAGCTTTGTAATACAAAGATCATGTTAGCTTCAGACAGCAGGATTTCTGCATTCCCTGGCTACAAGAAATCTTTCCGTAAATTTTCTATTTAATTTCTTTATCTGAGGGTTTGGTCTAATCAGCAATTAAATTCGAACGAAGATCCCTAAGGAGAGCACGTCGGTGAAACAAAGAGATAACAAAGGGATAACAAAGAGCAGAATGATCAGCTCCAGGATTAAAGTGCTAATTTGTATCTTGGGAACGACCTTAAGGTACGGGTCAAATGACAAATGAAATGGGTCGCAAGGAAACACGTTACTTACAGACTCTAAACTGTGATTCAATGGCCCAGCAGAACATGAAAATGCGCCCAGTGCTCCTGAAAAGGAACAGCCTGGACTCTGCGGACTTCCTGAGGCACCCCCAGCACCGCAGGACCAAATCCCAGCAGGTCCGGTTCAAGGAGGATGGAGTGAGCACCAAGGCGGAGCTGGAGGTTCATCCTGCCCGAGACGCGCCTTTCCCGACTGGAAAACCAGAGGTATTTAGGGATCACGATTTTTTGCTAACTCGCTCTCCAACTTTTCCAACAAGGGCTCAGAAGGGGCTTCGGAATATCGCCATCCAAACATCCCCCAGCCTCAGGAAACACTTCCCGGTTTTTAAGAAGAAGAAGCTGACAGGAAGTAAATCACTAACAGAGATGCCGACGGAGCCTGCACATCCCATGCAGGTCAATGGCAGCCTCTGTGAGCAGGACATCACGTCTGCAGATCTCTGTTACCTGAGGATAACGAACCACGGGGAGGACGGATGCAGGAATGGTGAGGGGGACGGGCAGGTAAGTCAAAGAGCACCAGAAGCACAAAGCAACGGGCCCGTCTACTCAGATGATTCCTCAGTGTCAGAGAAGACAACTGCGTCCACACAGGTGCCTGAATACATACACGTGAGCTTTCCACAGGACAGAAATGTTTCCATGGATGCACCAGACACAGCCACGGATCCAAGTCATTCCCTGCACTCCTCTGCTGTCCCCCACGGCACTGAAAGCAATGAGAACAGCACACTGTCCTCTGAGCCTGAAAGAGCAGAGCCTTGCCTAGGCAATTCTGCCAACTGCAGGGAATGTGATCCCCATTCTGCTGCTTGGGGAGTGGGGAAAAGCGATTCTGAGCTGCCTGTAGCCAGCAGAGACGCCAGCAGCAAGGAAACAGCTCCATTGTCACCTCCATCAAATCACAGCTCATCTCCTTGTTCCCTCAGAGACTGTCACCAGGCAGGAGAGCACAAACCAGATCCCAGCCGTGTGACGTTACCAGGTGATCACACAGCCAGGGCAGCGACCAGCAGTGACATCCCAAAACCTGCTCCGGCACGGGAGCCTGGAGTCGAGGAGAATTCCACCCAGTCAGATGCTGCCCAGTGCAACAGCTGTTCAGAAGGATTTCACACAAAGTCTTTTCCGCCAAGGAACGAAATCAAACCGCAAACCAACCAAGAGATTAGTGAAATAAATCAAATTCACTTGGCACATGGCGAACTCTGTGCCCTCCAAGGCAGGCTGCAGTCTGTAGAGGAATCCTTGCAGTCCAACCAGGAGAAGATTAAAGTCCTTTTGAATGTAATCCAAGACCTGGAAAAATCCAGAGCGCTGAGTGAAGGGTATGGTGCATTTTTAATATTAGTAATTCATTAGAAGCGTAAGTAATTCATTAGAAGCGTAAAGTAGGTGCTAGCATTCTTTTAACCTTTGCTCCTGAAAAATATACCTCTTCTGATGTTTAAAGATGAGTTTGCAGAAAAGGCATCTTACACCCTTTTTGTGGTAATTGGGCCCCAACAGAAGAAAGTCTCTTCATAGTTTGGTTTTAGCTGCCACTGCCTTTATTAATTTTAGTGAGACACAGTTTAACAAATCCCTTTTTCATTTAGATTGATGGTGTTTGATATGAACTCCCTGACACCTGAAAATTATCAGTCTCCAGCTGACTAAAATCTGAATGCAGGAGAACATCCAAACCCAAGAGTCCAATGTACTCCAGCAGTACAACCCGTGGCAAAGTCAGACACACACGTGGTGCCCAAGCAGCCCCAGAGCTGACACAGCTGATATCACAAAAGCCACTCTCCTGCTCTGTAAATCATTACTAGAAATCATTACTGCCTCCAAACACAAGCAGAAGGAATAGTGGCTAGAGAACAGCATCTGCTGATATTTGGGGCCACGCTGCTGGTTGTGTTTCATGACACCACCAACAGCAGAGCTGCTTCAAGGGAATGCCTTGGGAATGGGGGGAGCCACAGTGCCAAGTGAACTTGGAGAGCTTCAGGGAGTCAGGAAGATTTCATGGGAAGCAGAGGGAGGTGCTTAAAAAGGATTAGAACTAATGACACAGAGGGAGTAAAACTCTTGGGAAGAACTCACTTCAGAATCTCAGATTTCAGAACTCTGCTTTCTGCAGCTCAATAAGAATGAGTGACCTGTATTTATGTCACTAGCTAAGGCTGCCAGCAGCATTCATACACTTATTTAGGCATTATAAATAATAGTAATACTATAAATCCAACTAAGGTCTAAAGAATGGACACCTTCATAGGTTAAAACAGAATTTTAAATATTTCTGTACTCAAACCAGGTTTCAGAGTATCCTAATCAGGCTTTCCACACCACTAACAGCATCTCCCACTTACAGTAAATGCAACTTGGCAGTTCTGTCTGGTTATAATGTAGTATATCCATCAAATAACTTATCTTTGAAAAACTCGTAGATAAATCTGTCAAAGTATTAAGATAATAAAGGTTCCATTTTAATTTATTTTTTAAAGATAAAACAACATGAAGTCTATGTTATCATGAGTAATTTTATCCTCAGCACAGGCAGCTTAGGCATCTTAGAATAATCACTTTTGCACAACTGCTTTGTGCATCAAACAGCACCCTCAATTTTAAAATCAGAGCATGTGTATCAATAGTATTTACTGATTAAAATTAATGAATAAATCAGATAATATTCCACATTTCCACTAACTGTGCAAACATCACAGGAGGGTTGCACTGAGGGTTTTGGGTTCAAGTTGCATAGAAATAGCACAGAGCACAACCCTGCCTTGTTCACAGGACCCAGCATTAGGCCTTTGCATTTGTTCCCATTTGGGCAGAACAGGTTTTTGTGGCTGTGCAGAACTGTCAGGATGGAACTAAGTGAAGTCACAATTTTATATGCCCCAACTTTCTTACAGCTTTTGCCGAAAAACAAAGAAAAATCCATTTTGAAGAATTCTTCCCTTTACAAAGTATTTTAGTTGGTAATTAGAGTTAACTTTTTCTATTCGTGATGAATAACTTTCCAACTCACACTCCAAATATGAATTTACACTCACTAAAAATTTTAAAATAATAGAAATCCAGTTAGCATGTGATTTTACTACATACAGATTACCTTTTTTATCTGGAAACATTAACCACTAATGTCCATCTGGCTGTTAAAGCGGAAACCCTTCTATTAGCTGCCACTGTGCCCACATAAATTATTCCATATAAATTTTTTTCCCATACAGCTCAGCTCCAGCTATCCTCTCTCTGAAGCTTGTCCCATATGATTTTTCTACCAACAACTTTCTAATAACACAACAGACAAAATCAAATACTGAGAACAAAAATGCAAAAAACATTTATAGCACCCCAGAACCCAAAAGTTCAGGCAAGAGGCAAGATTTGAGGCAGGGACCCAAGTCTGTGTCCAGTTTAAGCAATCACTTCTCTATTGTATTCGACATCCAACTACCCTCTGGAGTGTGCTTCCTAAAGAATGACAGGAAAGAACCCCAAACCTTCTCCCCTACATAGAGTTCTGGATGAGAGACTGCACAAGTTCTAATTACAAACCCATGTTTCCATTTGAAAATCTGACCATAGCAACGATTAATTTGCAGGGAAGCAGAGTCAGATTATCCAGCAATATTTATAATCCATTTCTGTTAAGTTATCACAGGGTTGAAAAGAAAAATTTTGTGAAATACCTTGAAGTTTGATACTGAGATTCAACGAGAAACTTCAATCCATCTTGCCAGAATCATCCAGCAGTGACAGTGAACATTCAAAGTTGTATAGATGTATAGATGCACATGGAGAACTTCCACTTTAATTCCAAAACAATCAGGAACTTATTTTGGTACCAACTGTTCTCCCCTAATCCAAATAAAACTTGTTAAATGGGAGTTACTCATCCTTCAGACTAAATGAACCACCAACTTCAAACTGTTTCTAACAGTTGATAAAAAACCAGTTTGATAAAAATAATTCAGCTCTGGTTGGTGTTATGTATAAAAATCCCTTTTCTTTTGTTCTCAACACTCCAAATTTATATGCTATGAGCAGCAGAAATCTGACTTGGTCATACTCAAGTAAGGAAACACAAGAAGAGGAAAGACTGGAAAGCATAAGGGTAAAGATCAGGCTGATTCACCAAACCCATGAATTTTTAAACACTTTAAAGTGGGTTTGTAAGAAACAGTTGCACGTCTAAGTGTTTTCATAACAAATATTCATGCAAGAACCAACAACCAGAATCCTAAACCAGCCCAAAACAGTGCGAGGTGGGAAAGATGCAAGACAAGAATCGCAGGGTTTGTGTTTTTTAAAGCAACCTCCTAACTTAGAATTTGACACCAGCATTTTTAGTAAAGATGATGGAAGTGGTGAATTTTTGTTCATAAAAGGTTCAGAGACCTGTTGCTGTACCTATAAATACACTTTACACGAGCTGCTGTCTCTTACAGGCGTAACTTCTACCACACTGGCCAGGACCTGAACAACTGCAGCACCTGCCAGAACACGGCCTGCATCATCTACAGGTACTTCCCTCCTTCCCACAGGTCTGCAGGGGCTGGATCTCCCTCCAACTGAACAACACAATGTTTTGCTCACAGCTATAAAATGCCTCAGCTGTGACTAATCCAGTTTTTAACAGAACACACCAAGTGGTGTGTATGAGGTATTTCTTTTTGTTTCCCAAGCAGAAAACAATTGATATTGGTGTTGGCTGAGAATTCAAATAGAAACTCCCCACTAAGGTTTCACAGCGTTCTTACTTATGCTTTCAAAACCTCTGATGCCATTTCTGAGGATGAAATTCCTCTGTTTGTTGCATTTTTAAAGCTGGGATTTCTGTAACACGTTTAAGATCTTGAAAAAGATAAACACTCAGCTCTCCAAGTGCCAGTGAGCTACAGCTACAGTTCACAAAAATTAAACTCCCACACTTTTCACTCCTGTAGCTATCTGTTATTCATTTAAGAGAGTGCAATTTGACTAAAGAAACGTTGCAGCACTGTGTCCTGGAAGCTGTACATGTTTCAAACACTGTGTCTGTAAAAACACACTGTAAGAGCCTCCAGCTCCCCAACCATCCACCCCAAACCAGCAGGTACAAAGTCTTGGTTGTACTCTGCATGTGGTTTGTCCACTCAGCAAGGGATTTTATAAGGCTTCCTCTAATTTATAAACACTATCTCATCTTTGCAGCCTCAGTTATGAGGCAGAGAACCCAAATCTTGGGTTACTTGGCTATATTTACAAAAACAGATGGTAAGAGATTTTCTCTTTTAGGTTGAAACCTTTTCCTTTATTTCAAAGAACATGGCAGACTGTTATCTTTGCCAGTTTGCAAGCAATATAACTTTAATTTTTTTAAATGATACAAGGAATAGAAAATACCCACATGGGAATGTTTTTCACACCACATCTTCTACATGAGCCACATTTGCTAAAGAATTTAATAAACTGAACATAGCACTGGAACCTGTTGTTCAACACACAACTCAGCCAGGTACTGGTGTCCTAAACCTCTGGCAGTGAAATCCCAAAGTAACCAAGATATCACAAATTAAACACCACAACTCCTCTGAGACAAAGTTGTTCATCTTCTTCATAGCCCACGGGGTACCATGGAAGTAACGTGACTTATCCAAGAGCATAGACTGCATCTGTATAATTTTTATACAGATCCAAGACAAAGTAGATTTCCTTTGCTTGGTCATCATCTCTGAACAGTCTCTGTGTGTTTGACTGGACTAGACATGAACAGGTCACTCTCTAGAAATTCTGTACAAACTACCCTTCACCACAGGCTGAAGAATAAACCATGATGGTTATCTCGTGGTTTTAAGTTTCGGTACAGGGAAGGTCCTGAACAAGTGGCACAATTATCCAAAGAAAGGGACAGAGGAAATAAGAAAACGCTGATGTGCCTTTCTGATTTCCTGGGTAGTTTGTGATGATAATGGTGCCTGAAGGCTTTGCAGGGCAATGATTAGTAGAACATGTACAGAACACTGGTTTTCTAAAAAGTTTCTAGTTTTGAGAGAGAAACAGGAGACAGCGAGGGAACAACAGTTTTCACTTTACAGAAATGTTCCACAAGATGAGGTTTTGAAAAAAGTATTCTGAGTGACTAACATTTGAATTTAGACAATATTCTAAAAGAAATTATCAGTGTTTGCTCTAGACAAACCCATGTAATTTTTTTATATTTTACATAGCCTAAAGGTCCGTGCAAGTATTTTTCCCCTAACACAGCATCACTGTTTTCATTAATTATACAATCAAATGTCTTATCTGGCTCCCAGTTTTCCTGCTCCTAAAGAATCCAGCTCATCAGTGATGCAGGATGTGGGGTTGCTGTCGCTGAACCATCTTTATCACACACAGTTTAAGCAGACCCTGAGTCAAACAATGCACTAATCTCATATAAATCCCAGTGTGGATTACACCGATCAGGAAAGTAATAAAGAGCTTTTCTGCCTAACAGTGAGGGTATATTTGGCTTTATTAACTCCCCAGCAGGGATTCCAGACTTGGGATTTTCGATCTAGATCATGTAACGCAAATGTTTGTTAATAATAAACAAATGCAAGCAGCAAACAAAACCAGTTATCTGGGCATCTCACGGACAGTATTAAATGAAGACTGAATTGACCTCTTGCCTCTGGAGATGATCTCTCCAACAGGAAATTAAAAACTCTGAAGAAAGGCAGAAAATAGGACTAGGAGCAGATGCCACCTTTACACGTGCCAGAAACCCAACATTTAGTATTCTTGACTACTGAAATGTATTAAGTTGCAGCTTTAGCAATAAGCTGATAAAATGCCAGAGACACCGATTTTATATCACTTTCTTCTACCTCTTTTATATTTATTATGTCTTGCTTCTTGTTCAGAGATCCTTCTCCAGCTTTTCTAAATCAGAATAATCCTACTGCTTTCTTTTTACCAGCTGAGTTGTATTATTTCATTAAAACCTCCCAAACACATGAATTATAAGCAAACAAGCTTCTAGTTAAGCTTAAAGTATTATTTAACAATTTTTATGGATTTCTATATACATAAAAATACTCACAAAAATAGTGTTTAAAATACACATATTTACTAACTTTACAGGTTTCTTCTAATCAGTGCCAAAATCAATTCAGGGCCTGAAAGGACATCCCAAAAATCCAGAGATTGTGCTTGGATTATGAAAAATACCACCTTTCTACTCTCCCCCTCCCTCCTAAAACCTCCCCAGCAGACACAGCTGATATGACCCACTCTCCTGGCCAGAAAAGATGATTGAAATAAAGAAAATACAGTCCTGCTTAATCACTGTCCACACTGACTCTTTTAGCCTTACATTGATTTCTATGCACTCATCTGCTGTTATCTAATTAACATCCTGGCTCTCATTTGACATTAATAATAATTAGGGGTTTCAGTGGAGAAAATGAGTTCTACTTTCCTGTTAACTAACACCACTTATCTCAAAGACTTACATATTGGCTCACTTTCATATATTTTTGCTCCTAGCCTGTCTCCTAGTGGGGGACATTCACATTTAACAGAGTTAAGTATGTGAGAGTTTTTAATTAATTCCAAGCATGTGACTGTTAGACTATGGTATCAAAACCTGACCTTTGAATAAAATGTATTGAAAGGTCATTCTGGTATTTTCATTTTTTCTCCCTTAATTTTTCTCCCATTGTTTCGGGTAAAATGCTGGAGTTGTTAAGTCACATAAAGTAAAAGGTTTCCCTTAAAAAAAAATTAGTAAATGAATTTATTGTCAAAGCAGAAACCAAAACACCCTTGTGTTTTCATCATGTTTAGTTATTGAATAATGCCAAGTTATTCTGATGAGATAAACATCCTTTCCAGGTGTTTTTTAAAGAGGGAATTTCTCACTTACTAGCTTAAATCTCTTCATTTTTCCATAGTGTAGAATATGACTTCAGACAACAAGAAGGAAGATTTCACCAGATTTTGAAAACACTGGATAATGCAGAGCAAGATCCAGCTTCAGCTTCACCTCAGAAGCCACCACCTGATCCTCCAGCTGCAGAGAAAAAGGAGTTAAGGAGGAAAACAAAAAAGATGAAAAGAAAATGCTTCTGGTGGATTTGACTTCCTTTGCCTCCTTTTATATTTCAAGACATCAGAACAGAAAGAGCTCGGGAGCACAGGCCTGAAATGTGCTATTACAAAACCACAAAGGTAAAGAATGTTTAATTAGGGTATCTGAAAAATCAAATTAATTGAATTTAGTTAAATCATCTCACTGAATAAAGGTGCATGAAGATACTATTTTCAAAAGAGAAATTTTTTCTTTCAAAAGGAAGCTCTCTCATTTTTTTTCCAAGGACACTTTCATATGCTTTCTAAAGACCTTTTTTTTCAACTTTCCAAAAATAGCAAGATTCAAACCTCTACTTTAAAATAAAAACCAACATGGTAGATGAAGGTAAGCATGTCACACAGCCTTCATTTCCTCTTTCTAAAAAACTTGGACTAAAAGGGAAGAACTTCATTGATCTTTGAAGAAACCACACCATCAAGAACAAATTCAGGGAAACCTATGCTGCTCATAAAAGTCTCTCCTCAAAGGAGATAATCATCATTATTTCACGTCCCCACTGAAATATTTTTCTTGCTGTCATTCCTCTAATATTGAACAACAACAAAAAAGGAATTCTGGTTGAAGTTTTACTCTGCCCTTTTATTTGTTATAAAAAACCCCCGTTCAGAAGTTTCAGCCACTCAAGAGATTTCTCTGGAAAGAACTTTGGAATCATAAAACAAGAGAAGATCGTGGTAACTCTGGTCTGAAACCCCTACTCAAGCGAGGTCAGGTTAAGTGAATTTGAGTACTGAGTCTCTGCAAAGACAAGAATCCCAAACACCTTGGGAGGGGCTGCTCCAGTTTTTATTCCCAACATCCAGTGTGACCCTGGAGCCCATCACACCTCGCTCTGTCCAAAAGCACCTCCAGGAAGAACAGGATGGAGAACAGGATGGAGAACAAGATGGATAACACAAGACCTCTCTCCTAAGTCTTCACCTCTTAAAGACTGAACAAACCCAATTTTCACTGCCTCTCTTCCCATGCTCCTGCTGCAGCCCACAGGCAGCTTGGCTCTCTGCCTCCAGTAATTTGATGTCTTTCCTCCACCTGGAAGCCTAAAACTGGACACAGTCCCTCAGATGTCATCACACAATTGCTGGATAAAGAGGAATGACTGTTTTGGCTCCTGTCTTACAAAAGCACCTGCCCAGTCTGCCCTTTTAAGACTGTATCACTATATTAAAATATCCCAAGCTGTGGGTTTTTTTGGCCTTAAGGTGTAAGTCGATACATGACACAAAATTGGACATAAAAAGAATATTTGATGAACTTATCCGTGTTACACAAACAACTACATATGCTGAAAAGATTTTATCAAGTGTCAGTACAGTGACTTCTTTCCTCCAAAAACGATGGATTTACCAGCCAGCACAGGGAATGCCAATGGAACCTAATTTAGGGCTGATTATACTATTATTTTACTCATGAGAACGTGGGCACCTTTCATATGGGGGGCAAAGGGGAAAAGGTTTCCCAGAGCAAGTTTAGTGGAATGTACTGCAGACCTTTTCCTAGTGACCCTGGTTCAGGGTGTTCCATAGATTAACCCCTGCATCCTATTTTTCTAAGTCATACTGGATTAATTGTGCAATGTTAATTTAAAATGTCTGTACATTTTTTGTACACTTCTCTGTTCCTTGAATACTTAGGGTTAATTACACATTTGAAAAACACATTAAAACCAATTTTGCACAGAAGAATTTTGTCTGGAAGAACTAATTTATTTTTTTTTTAATAGAACTAGTCTTTTAGAAGAAAGTATGCAATATGTCACGGCTTAATTTATCAAAATTTGAGGGGACTGACACTTTTAAAAAACAATTCCATGTTAAGTTCAGTGAGTACATAAATGACAGGCACAAAATTATCATTATTGTAGAGGCTTTTCAGAAGGAAATTAATTTTTACCAGCAAAAAAAATGGATTCAGTGAGACAGAAAAGCTCTTCAGTAATAGGTTGTGGGTACAACAAAGGTAAGAATTAAATTATTGCATCAGAACACATCACTATATTACACTCAAGTACTCTATAACTGATATAATGAAGGATTTATTAGTGTCTAAGTTATTCTTGTGTATTAAAATAGCATTTTAAGACTAATATTCTCTGTGGTAAAGGTATAATAATAAGCAGTACCAGCAGGTGCAACACTAGTAAAACCAGAAGTTTTTTTCTGCAGTGAACTGATTTTTAATAATTTATTACATGAATGCAATCTTTTTGTCTTTGTTTTGGTTAATAAGCCCAAAAAATCCTCCTTTTAAGCTATTTGACTTTGGGTTTGCACACATAATGCATGTGGTGCCTTCACTGTATCTTCAAAGGATTCAGACAATTTGATTTAAACAAAGCCCAGCACTCTGGTTCACCACAGAGCACCAACCAAGTCCTGGGGTCAGGAAAACTCTGCAGGAACAGAGAGATTCACTTTGGTTTAAGAAAGTGCCACCAAAGGAAGCTGCAAATAAGGCTCTAAGTCTTTCTTACAGCCTGAACAGGCATCAATGCTCCTGAAAAACTGAAGTACGCTGATATAAATGCTCACAGGATTTATAATTTAATGCCTGAGCGTGATGGACTTCAGAACTGCGGGCGATTTTTAATCCTTAATCTCTCAGTCAAAATTAGCTTCTGTCTTCCAGATTCTCAAATGGATTGTTTTTCAGTTCCCTCTGCCTCAGGAAAGTCTGGATTAGCCCCAGGGGGATATGAAATTCCCTTTGTGCCATCTGCACCCGCAGCAGGAGGGAAGCACTGCGGGGATGCAGGGATCGGCCCCTCAGCTCCCGCTGCTGCCACAGGAGAACAGTCATTTGTCTCTCTGCCTTCAGCTCTCACACTCACCCCCTCCAAGACATCTGTTTTCCTTGGGAGGGAACATGAAATTCCAGTGCTGCTAAAGCACTCTCCTTCAGGAAGGTTGTCCTGGACTTCTCTATTTCAAGATTTCAGAATAACAAGGGAGATTTTTTTTTTTTTTGTCAGCAGGAGCAGCCAGAGCCAAATTCTGAAATATATATCAGATCTAAACTCAGGGGTTATCTAAAACACAGACAGAGCTCCCTCATTCCTTTTCTTGAGGCTCTGATTACCATGAGATGTTTTTATGAGGTTTCGGGAGTCAATTAATAACAAACAACATTTAAATTACAAAGGAAGCAAACAGCTGTTCTTTGGAAAAAGAAAAATTAATTGAAAACTAATAGGCATTTCATGGAATCCCACAATAATTTCACTGAAAATAAAGCAAAAGTACTGCAGAAGTAAATTATCCCTACCAAAGAAAAAGCATCATATTTTCACAATCAAACCACACCTACTAAATGCCAGGAGTTATTATCCCCAGTCTGTCACACACAAAAGGCTTTCTCCATAAAACTTTAAAGGGAACATTGGAACAAAAGACTATTTGTCACACTGAAAGGTAACAGTGGGGGGATGTCATGGATGCATCAGCCAAGATCCATCAGCACAAAGGTAATGCTTGGTTACTGGTTTGTTTAGATTTAACATAAAAATTTGTATATCCTAGCAACAAAATAACTAAAATTTAAGAGCTTTGTAACACTTAATTGGAGAATCTTGGCTGTATAAAAATGTAATGGGTAAGAATTGTTTTCTCTCTTATTGTTCGATATTTTTAAAATAGTTTAGGAATTAATTATCAATTCCCATAAGAAATAAAAAATTACCAGAGACAGGTTATGCAATTTATGATGTCAAGATTGGAAAAGCAATAGAAACTGGGAGATGTTGGAAGATAATAGTACTGGCTACGAAAAACTTCTGTGATTTACAAAATAACAGTGTAATCCCTAAAACCAGCTCCCAGAATAGGAAAGAAATTTCAGGAATACAAACACATTATCAAGCAAAAATCTAGAAATACCCCCAAAAAACCCCATAAATCAGTGAGAAACAAACCACAGCTACCTGACAGCACTTGACAAAAACATATTGTGGGCCTTCTGTAAAATATGTATTTAAATGACAACTAAAACATGCTATTTATAAAACATTGCACAGAACACGGTATATTCCAAAATTACTGTATTTGAAATTGTTGTTTTATGGAGTCAACCTAAATTTCTTTAAAAATTAAGAATGTGTGGATAAAATACTGATTTCTCTCTCATATAACAGCAGTTCATGTAGGGCTTCTGACAGTTTTTTGCACTACAGCTCTTTTGAAAAAGCCACAATACTTAGTAGTCCTGCCAGCTTAGATACAAACCATCTTCCTAGGGAAATTTATTCTCCAATGAATGTTTTGTATATATTTAGGCCCTTTAATGTGATGTTATCTTTTGCAATAAAATGAGATGTTTTATTAGGTTTCAGGAGTCAATTAATAATAAAAAAGGTTTAGGTTACAAAGGAGGTGAACAGCTGTTCTTTGGAAAAAGAAAAATGAATGGAAAACTAGCAGGCATTTATGGAATCGTTCTGCAGCTTTTCCAGGTAGAGCAAGGATTTAAACTGGAATACTGAACAAAACATCTGTAGCTTTTAGCTAGGCCATGAGTATATTTGAATATATGGGATTCTCCAGCCACAGCAGCTCTCCAAAGAGTTCCCCTGGTCATTATTTCCCCACAGAGAAAGCTCTAGGGTAGCTTTGCTTAACAGAGCACACCGTTTTCTTTTTGGCAAAGTCTCCATGTGCACAACAGTGTATATAAATACTGTTTAAAAACCTCTCTGTGTGGCGTAGCTACACTTATTTCATCGTGCTGAACTGAAACTGTGAGCAGAATGAAGTTTGGAAGTACTAAAGGATTCAAGATATTTCTGTTTACCTAATCAAGCCAAGACTGAAAACAAGTATTGTGTTCTCCGGGCTTTTATGTTTTACTTCCATAACTCCTGCAGGACGTCACTGCATCACAATGACCTTCAACTACAAGTCTAAATTTCGTAAGATATTCAAGATAAAGCTTGAATAGCCATATTCAGACAGCAAACTCGTCCCTTTTCACAAGTTTAGAAGCACTCCTACAGCTAGGAAAATTAAGTCAAGGTTTTATGGATTTTTAAGTGTGAAAACAACCAAGCAGCTGCTAAAACCTTCAAATTCTAAAGCAGCACAGTGAAGGCAAGAGTGGCACTTAAGTAAGTCTTCTCTGCAGCAGCTGCAAAGAGCCAAATTACTTTTCCACCACCACCACCACCTTCTCCTGAAGGGATTATTTACTTCTGAGCCCAACTCTGCCCAGTAGTTACACGAACACAGCACAGGCAGCACCTTCTTCCCTTTGCCTCCAACTGGCACTGGCAGCAAGAAGAGATCAAGGCAACTGGAACCCAAAATCATTTTAATGCCTTCTCTGCCAACAAGAGAGAAGATTGTGAAAAGGACACCTGAATATGAAAATTAACCTGCTTACCCCCGACAAAAAGTAAAAGCAACCTCAGGTGAATAAAATCCAGTAATCTATCCAGTGCAAGGTATTTCAACGTGCAAGGAATTACAGGTCTTGTATATTGTCACCATTGTTTTTATCAGTATAACATAATATTAGCATTGCTTTCCACACTGTTTTCAAATTCTAGAAAATCACACTGCAGAAGATAATAAAAATACTTGCAATATTCA